CATGGTTATTAAGGTCAGTCGATCCTTCCACCTGCCTCAGCCTTCGTCTATTTCCAACCGCGAATCGGATGTGGAGGCATCTTGCAGGATTATATTCTACCTCCAGTGCAGCTTGGCAGTTTGAGGTAGAAACAGCTCTAGCTCGTTTAACTCAAGGTGACAAATCGGTCACCGAATACTTCAACACTGCCCAAGAATTATGGACCGAGCAAGACATGATTCATTTGACCTTGAGACCTCAATCCATGACTGCTGATATGGTAGCTGAAAGACAACAATCTAGGGTCATGCAGTTTCTAATGCGCTTGCGACCAGAATTTGAAAATATCCGAGCTAGCTCATTGAATAGGGAGCAGCTCAATTTTGATGGTGTGATCAGCAGCTTGGTGCGAGAGGAAACTCGATTACGCGCTCAAGCTCAGTTAGATACTCGTCCAGGAGAAGGCGAGACTTTCTTGGTGACTCCTGCTGGTCGTTATGGAAATGGAAGTGGAAAAGGGGCATTTGCAGTCACTTGGCCTCAATTTCATGGCCGCGTTCCCAACGCGGAACTTGAATGTCACCATTGTCATGAAAAGGGGCATTTGGTGAAGCATTGTCGGAGGAGGAATTATTGCGTATATTGTAAAAGGATGGGTCACATTATTTTGGAATGTAGAACTCGAGAACGTAATGCCGAACGTAATGTGGGAAACTTTGCTGGAAATTCTGCTTCGGCTGGCGCTGGAAGTCGAGGCTATCAAGGGCGTCCAAATCGTCCAACTTATACTGTTAATGTGGGAGAATCCAGTGGAGATGCAGCTGGCGGATTAATGGCTGCCCAATTAGAACAATTGGTCCAAGCTGTTACATCACTTCAAACCTCTCTCCCAACTGCTATTGGATCGGCCATCACCAACATACAAGGTAAGATCAAAAGCAAACCTTGGTTAATTGATTTTGGATGTTTTAACCACATGACTAACAAGAAAGAATCCTTGCATAATATTAAATCTCTTAGTCATGGAGGGTTAACAGTTGCTAATGGTGATAGGATGGCCGTGAAAGGAGTGGGTAACGTTGATACTCCTACTATATCATTATCCCGTACTTTATATGTTCCTGATTTGGTGCCTAACTTAGTCTCAGTTGGTCAACTTACTGAACAAGGATGTTCTGTTATGTTTGCTCCTACTGGTTGTGTTATTCAGGACTTGAAGACGGGGAAGCAGATCGGAAGGGGGAGTAAGCAGGGGAGGATTTTCCACTTGGATGAACTTCAAGGCTGTTCGGCTTCATCATTTTCTTTGAGTCAGTTGTCAAAGAGTCTCTCTGGGTCTAGGTGTGTCAGTAGTCCATCTTTCTCAAGTTTGTATGGTCCTGTGTTTTCTGGTTTATCAAATAAGGTGTGGGAACTTTGGCATGCTCGTTTAGGGCATCCACACTCTAGTCGTCTTTCTGTCATGTTCAAACAATCACTTTTGGGAAAGAATTTTATTGGAGTTTCAGCTAAACATTCCTGTACAAGCTGTGTTGAAGCAAAAAACCTCTTCTTCTTCTTTTCCTTCTAGCACCACTGTTATTACCGAGCCATTTCACATCATACATACTGATCTCTGGGGACCGTTACCTACTGTTTCCCGCCTTGGCTTTCGCTATTTTGCTTTGTTCATAGATCATGCCACTCGATACACCAGGATATACTTTCTTCGCCTAAAATCTGACCTTCGTTCTGTGGCCACTGAATTTATTAATATGATTCAAACCCAATTTGGGCGAACTATTAAGATAATTTGTTCTGATCCAGGTGGAGAGTTCAGCTCAATTCCCTTACATGACCTATATCGCTCTCGTGGTATTTTGAGTCAAATGTCCTGTCCTGGAGTATCTCAGCAAAATGGTCTAGTTGAACGCAAAAATAGACATGTCATGGAACTCACTCGAGCTTTACTCCTTGCTTCTTCTGTCCCTAGTAGATTCTGGCCTGAGGCTGTCGTCACAGCTGTGCGCTTAATCAATTATCAAATCACTCCTGTCCTGAACCAGAGAAGCCCTTATTTTGCTCTTTATGGTTCTCATCCCGACTACTCTCGTCTTCGAGTTTTTGGCTGTCTCTGTTTTGTTCTTCTTCCTTAACGTGAGCGAACCAAGCTGTCATCTAAAACGGTTCGTTGTGTTTTTCTTGGGTATAGCAGTGTGCATAAAGGGTATCTTTGTTTTGATCCTACTAGTCAACGTCTACGGGTTGCCATTTCTGTTGTCTTTTTCGAAAATGCAATGTTCTATCCCTCAAAATCTGGTTCAGACATTGCATTTCCTGGGGGGCACAATTCCTTGCCATTCTTTGATGAAGTTGAAGATGCCGAGATCCCTTTATCTGATGATCCAGCTGATGCTCCGCCCTCTCCTGAACTGTCTTCCCCCACGACCAGCACGTCTCCTTCGCCAGTTCAGTCCTCATCGTCAACGTCCAGCAGCGGTGCCTCTTCCTCGGAATCATCATCACCGCCCAATCAGCCCCAGCTTCGTCGCTCCGAGCGTATTAACAAGGGAGTTCCTCCACTATTTTTTTATGATTATTATGCTCATGCTGTGGATACTCTTGTTGTTCCTACTACATTTAAGCAGGCCCGAGGAAATCCAATTTGGGATAAGGCGATGCAGGATGAGTTTAATGCTTTGGAGGCCAATAAAACCTGGACGGTGGTCGATCGACCTAACCCGTGTCCTCCTACTATAGGTAGTCGATGGGTTTATGCAATTAAAGTACGGCCTGATGGTTCCATTGAAACCCGTGTCCTCCTACTATAGGTAGTCGATGGGTTTATGCAATTAAGGTACGGCCTGATGGTTCCATTGAACGGAATAGGGCTAGACTGGTTTCCCTTGGTTATACACAGGAGTATGGGGTGGATTACAATGAGACCTTTGCTCCTGTTGCTAAGATGTCCACGGTTAGGACGTTACTTGCTGTTGCTGCTCAGTATAACTGGCCTCTCTACCAGCTCGATGTGAAGAACGCCTTTCTCCATGGCGATCTGGAGGAAGTGATATACATGGAACGACCGCCTGGTTACACAGTTGGGCGAGAAGATCAAGTATGCTTGCTACATCGCTCTCTCTATGGACTCAAACAAGCACCCCGTGCTTGGTTTGAGAAATTTCAGTCCACTATCGTTAACCTGGGGTATCATCAGAGTCTCAATGATCCTTCTCTCTTTACGAAGCACACTTCCACTGGCATTGTTGTTCTTCTTTTATATGTGGATGACATGGTCATTACAGGCACAGATCAGTCTGGCATTAACCATCTAAAAGACGGACTCAAGCAAGCTTTTAGCATCAAGGATCTTGGCACCCTCTCTTATTTCCTGGGCCTGGAGGTTAGTCGAAATGATCAAGGAATTCTGCTCAGCCAGAGAAAGTACATATCAGACCTGTTGAGTGATCACAATTTTGATGATTGCAAGCCAGTTAAGACTCCTATGGAAATGAATCTGAAGTTACAGAAAGACTCTGGTGCTAAGCTGCAAGATGGATCTCAGTATCGCAGTATCGTTGGTAGTCTCATCTATCTCTCTGCTACTCGACCGGATATATCTTGCTGCAGTACACCGGATTCTTCGTTATCTGCAGGGAACTCAGGAAGTTGGCTTTCTTTTTCCATCCACTGGCTCGACCACGATTAGTGCCTTCTCAGATTCTGATTTTGCAGGGTGTCTTGATACTAGACGTTCTACTTCCGGTTGGTGTGTTCAATTTGGTGGCGCCTTCATTTCCTGGCGCTGCAAGAAGCAGGATAAAGTTTCCAAATCTTCTACCGAAGCTGAATACCGTGCCATGTCTGAGGTTGGGTCTGAAATGGTTTGGCTTCGACGTCTCTTGTCAGATTTCGGCATTGCCTGTCCTGCACCTATGAAGCTCCACGTTGACAACACAAGTGCGATCCGCATTGCAGTCAATCCGATTCTTCATGATCGCACCAAGCACATTGAGATCCATGTGCATTACATCCGGGATCTAGTTTGAGATGGTACTGTTAGCCTGCATCACCTTCAGACAGACGAGCAAGTAGCTGATCTGCTCACCAAAGCCTTTTCTACGAGTCGTCACTGGTATCTGGGTAACAAATTGATGCTTCGTAACCAGCATCAATTTGGGGGAGGATGTTAAGCATATGTATTATAGGCTGTTGATTTATGTGAGTTGTAGTGAGTTGAATGAGTGTGGGGCCCATTTAATAAGCCCACACGTAATCCATGCTGGCCCATGCACGGTTAGGACGTGGAGTAAGGCTCCTAACCTAGGGCACGATTGAGATAAAAGGAGAGTGGGGGAGTTTGACGGCTGTACAATCTGTTCATTCATTCTTCTCAGTAAAATAAGTAGCCTTAAGAGCTTTCAAAGCTCTTCCGTGGATTAGTCCTGGATCACATCCAGGGATACCACGTAAACTTCGGTTTCTGTGTTTGATTTTATTTCCGAACTGTTTTCGATCTGTTCTTGTTTCTCAACAGTGGCAGGTGGGTAGGGGGTTTTGTTGCAAACCTTAGTACAGCGACGGCCGCCCTCTCTGAGCTTTGGGCTATTAACTATGGGCTCGACATCGCGCGGAAGGCTGGCTGCAGATTCCTCCAGGTGGCCTCGGACTCTCAGCTGGCGATACAGCTGATTAGTACTCGTCACGACCTGATCCACCCCTATGCGACATTGTTAACAGCTATAAGAAGAAAGATTGGCGGCGATTGGGTGGTGCGCATAACTCATACGTATCGGGAAGGGAATAGAGTCGCGGACTGGCTCTCGAAGCACAGTCTCGTCTATCCCTACTGCATGCATGAACTTGCAAATTCACCTAGTGTACTGGCCCCGATTCTCCGAGATGATATGCTAGAGACTACTTTTGAGTGTCGAGTTGTTGCTCTCTCCACCTCTTCTTTGTAATCCCCCTGTAACCAGTTCTTTTTCCTGGCATCGGCCTCCTTTCAAAGCAAAAATATAGCGTGCTCCTTTAAGAAATAGTATCAAATGTGACTTTACTTTAGAAAACAAACTAACAACAAATTAAAAAAAAAACAATCAACTCGAATTATTACTCATAAAAAAATTCCCCACCCAACTGTGGCAAATACATTTCTGCCCTGCTCACAAACTTATTTCATTCCAAATCTCCCTCAAACTCTAAAGAAAACGAACAGTGGACCAAGTTGAATCCGCATCAGCTTCATCACCACCACCAGATGCAGGGGCGGCCGCCGGAGGCTCCGTCCCCGGCCACGGCCATGGCATGTCTCCGTCATTTCCAGGCCCAGGGGCCACCGGAGTGTTGGGCCAGGGCCACGGCATGTCCCCGCCCGTCCCAGGCCCAGGAGCCACGGGCGGCGGCACGATGGCGGAGCAGAAAGTCTGGATCAATGTAACAACAGAGCTGTTCTGGAAAATCTCCACCTGACAATCCTCTGTCAGCGTCAGGAAAGCAGAGCAACAGGGCACACTGACGGCGTCGATGGGCGATCCGCCGCCGGTTTTGGGGAAGAAGGCCTTGAGAATGCTGAATAGGCAGTCGGGGACCTGGCAGATCTCGTTCCAGCAACCCGCTGCCCACTGTGGATGCAGCCGCTCCGCCGCGGCCGCGGAGGAGGACAGGAGGAGGAGCAGAGCAAGGATGCAGGGTAATTTGGGCGCCATTTGGAAGAGGGTTTTTTTTTGGGGTGTGGTGTTGGGATTCTGGGGAAGTGGGTTCGAGAATTTATATGGAGAATGGTTGGAAGATTGGGTAGTGGAGCGTTGGTGCGGGTTTCCTTCGACGGTCGGATTTTGTTCTTTTACCAGGAGATACGGTGGAATGGAATCCAATGGCGGAATGGAAGAAGGGAAGTTCATAATAGCAGAGTATCAAACATGAATGGTACCTGGTTTATGATTCTTCCTTATTTACCTTCGAGAATGTATTTTCTGATTTTTTTTACTAGCTTTGTAGGGCAATTTACTTACATTCCTAGTTGACGGATACCTTGCTTAGTTTGTAGTGAGTATTCACTTACTGAAAATTCTATTAAGTTGTCTTTCATTTTATTTTTTTAGATACGAGATAAGAGGTTACACATTTTATCGTAAAAAAATTTATTTATCGATGATTTATTTTTATGTTAACTATCTTTCTTATTTGTTGCCTGTGGTTGTGAGCATCAATTTGGTTCATGTTGTACTGCAATAGATTGAATCGAAGTATGAATTTCTGCGTTCAAATATTGTTCTTGAATTTGGTAATTTTTTTTATTTTAGTTCGGTTCTTAACAAAATTGTACATTTAATATAATAACCATACCGAATCATAGCTAAATAACTTACTAACTGTATTGTCATAGCTAGAAAGACAACCAGGCAAGTCAATTTGAGCATAGTTAGTAAAATACGGTACGGGAAAGTTACGTATAAAATACCTACGGGTATTTTACTTCATCTCTATACTAATGTTACGTTTAATAGTACGTTAATTGTCATAAATATAGAAAAATTAATTATTTTTAAAATAAATAAATATATTAATAATAATAAAGTTAATAATTTAATTCATTAAATACGGTTACTAAACGTGTTATATGGGTTTTATACGGGTTTAATACGAAAGCCATCAAATGAACGGACAAAAATGAAATGGCTTGGCAATAATACGGATATGGAAGTTTTAAACGAATAAAGTACGTACGGATACATATACGTGTATTAAACGGAGTATGTACTAACTATGAATTTTCCTTGAGTTGTAAACTCTATATGTGTCTACACTATATGTGTCTACACAAATACACATGGAACATGACATCTTATAAATTTGGTTTCATTTGATTCTTCTAGCGTTTTTGCTTCTCTTACTAGCTCGAACCTTACTCGGACTTGTTCTTGCCAATTCGAAGGCCTTACTTCCATTTTGACTCGAGTTAGGTGGAATATAATGGGTGGTATATGATGAGGCCATCTAGAGAGATTGTGGAATAGTTGTGGATAATGTAGTCTGTTCATCAATAATCGCACCACAAAGTTAATCTTTGGTATAGATTGTAGCCAAAAAATATCTTTAAACACTTGTAATTGTAACACATAGCATAACAATATTGTCGCTTAATAAGCAAACAAACTAAAATACACAAGGATTGTACTTATTGATATTGATTTTGTCCACTAGTTATCTCGATAACTTTTCAATTCATTTAAGCATTTTAACATCTCCTTGTCAGTTGGGATGTAAGTAGGAAGACTTGGAGCGGATTGCCCTAAATTAGTCATTTTCCTCATTGTAAATTACTAACTAACTTCTTATCCTCTCCATCCTCACCCCCATGCAAGGCGAATATGTAAATACGAGCAGGAATACCTCAATCCGTTCTCGACAGATTCTATTATTTTTCTTACATGCTCATATTCGATCAATACAGTTATTCTTCTCGCTTAATGTATCTTAGGATACTTAGGCATCACTAATTCACTGTCAATCGTGTCAACAAGGCAACGACAGTTTCAGTTAAAAGCTGGCGAAATTGATCATAAATCTACTTCTCTCACTATTATGTTTATGGCACCAATAAATAAGTAACTTTAATCAAATAGGTGTTAACCACCTTTTCAAAACCCTAAACAAGTCCTGAAAACAATTCCCACCCAAATCCCAACGGTAACATAATTACATAAAATTCTTCCCTTCCCCTCTCTCACAAACTTATTCACCATCATCATACCTCCCCTCAAATCACTCCCATCATTAGCACTCTTCTAAACCAGGCTAGCTGTTGGCCAAGGGAAAGTGGAACCCAAATCCTCGGAGGCAGGGGACGTTACTGGAGGCTCTGGCTCTGGCTCCGGCATGTCTCCCCCGTTCTCCGGCGGTGAACCGACGACGGCGTTGCAGAAAACCTCAATCAGGGGGATAACGGAGCTGTTCTGGAAAATCTCGACCTGGCAGTCCCCTGTGAGCGACAGGAAAGCCTTGCAGCAGGGGACGCCGACGCCGGTCTCGATGGACGACCCTTTGCCGCCGCCGGGCAAGAAGGAGCGGATGATGCTGAGGAGGCAGTTGGGGATTTGGTAGATTTCCTTCCAGCACCCGGCCGCCACTTCCGGCTGCAGCCTCTCCTCCGACCGGGCTATTGCGGCGGAGATGGTTAGGATCAGAAACAGAGCAAGGAAGCAAGCTGATGATGATGATGATTTGGGCGCCATTTTGATGTGATGGAAAGGAATTGAGAAGGTGGTGATGAGATTTGGCGAAGTGGGTTGGTGGAATTTATATGAATGAAGAGAGATCTGAAGAATGATTTAGTAACGGTGGAGAATCGATCATTTGGTGGATTTTCTTTATACGGTCGGATCTTTTCAAACAAAAAAAAAAAAAAAATCAGGAATCTGGCGGGAGTGTCGCAGAAGGAATGTTCATAATGTGGGGATTTTGTGTATTTTTAAGCCTTAAGGGATATGGTTTAGGCTGGCAGGTGTTGATTATGTGATTTTATAGCTTTTCAGGGATGGGAATTAAGTAGAGCATTTTTTGTAGGTCTAAACATACTTGATTAGGTACAAATCTCGTTTCCTCAAAACTTGGGAAGATACTAACTTTGTAGATTTATACTCGGATTTTATAGTTTGCTTGTTGGATTTGAAAATGAAGGTTTTGAGTTTTGAAAATCTTGGGATTTATGATGGATTTATTGTATTTTGTATTTGAAAGATAACATTATTTGTTTAGTTGAATTTTTATCATGGATTTAGTTCATTTGGTATTTGGGTCTCCAAAAATTTGCCTTCCATAGTGTGGTATTTGCAAATACCAAATGAAATGTGGTATTTACAAATACGTGGGGTCCATGGATTTGAAACTAAAAAAAAAGATCCAAATCCGTGGGCCCCACGTATTTGTATACCTCAACAAACAATATTTTTTCATCAAATACATCATATTTAGTATTTGGGTGGCAAATACAACACCCATATCCCACAAGCAAACGATCCCTCAGTGTTCTCTATATTGATGTGCTAGTCTTACATCACTAATCAAGTTTCTGAAAAAGTTCTTGCCATTTTCTAGTTAGAAGATTCTCACTTATGATTTTGCAGCATTCAAGAAAAGTATTACATGAAATCGACAAATGGCCCTTAGCAGTGGCGGATCCAGGGGGTGGCCACCCCGGGCCCCGGCTCAGCCCTCCTCTGGATCCATAGTTAGTATAGGCTTTATGAATTTTTCGATTTTATTATTCGGGTTGTTGTTATTTTAAAATAAGATTGGGTATAACTAGAAAAATTATTCAGATGAACAAATTCAAAATCACTACTCTAGATTTAGCTTATAAATTCTAACCCCGAAGGTTATTCATCTAAAAATACAATGTAACCTAAAAATTCAAAAAGTATTAAACGTAAAAAACTAAAACATATATGAGGTTTGTTACCTTGAAAATTTACTAGAGCAGCTGGTGGATATAGGGATGGAAACACAATGCAAATTGATTAGTAGATTGATTTGTCTAGTGTTGATGCTGCTCGTTTCAACAACTAATACGAATAGAACCTTTTCAACAATGAAACATGTGAAAATTGATTTCCGCAACAAAATAAGCGATGAATTTCTAGTCGATTGCTCAAGTATTTTATTTGAAACAGTGTATACTATTGGTATGGATGTGGACTCCTTTATTAATGCATTCGCTAAATTAAAATACCGTATTGTATAATTTACATTGTAAAAAAATTATAATCATAATATTTTTGGACTATTCTAATTTTCTAATAAAATGCGGCCCAGTGCACTTCTGTGTTCTGGATCCGCCGCTGGCCCTTAGGACTCAAAATGTTCTTCTAAAGTACATGTATAGATACACAAAAAATATAATTCTATAGTGAATAAAGGCACAAAAATAGGCGAGAAATAAGGGATAGTAACACATTGGCATCACGAGGACAGTCAACTTGAAGATTAGGAACCGTTTGAACAAACCCTAACCATCTCACTTATCATAACAGAAGCGTGCAAACGATAATCCAGATCAACACAAATGAACAAAAATTTAACGTGATTCACTAACACAATATGTGCTAGCTAATCCACGGGCATGGCCAGGAGAGAACAAATTTCACTAATTTGAGGAGAGTATAGGTTACAAACCAAATTCCGGAACGGACAAACCAAACAAACTAACCTGACTAACCTTACAACTGATTAGGGTGGTGAAGAGTATTTATAGAACTCTTCTCCTAATCCCAAACAGAAAACCAAACACATTTTCCAAACCTACAAGAAAAAAGGCCAAAACAAAGCCCAAATACAAACCCAAACAAAATAGGCCCAAAACTCAAATCAAATTCAAGTAATATTCTAACATCACTCCATTGTACAAATATTCTAAGGAAATAAGTAATTGTTCATTACCCAATTAATCTTACCACTACAACAAATTCGGCCTACTAGGACAAAAATTTTATTTTGTCATTTTATATTTGTCACAATAGGTATGGTAATATGACAAAAATAATATATGTCATATTTGGTATGCCTAATGTGACAAAAGTATTGTTGTCAGAATAATTCGTCATTTAAAGTGAGTAATGTGACAAATATTTCGTGTCACAATTAATTTTGTCCAAATAGGCATTCCATATCGGGATGTAAGAGACTCAACAGTGACAAATTTCTTGTTGTCAGAATAGTTCGTCATTTAAAGTGAGTAATGTGACAAATATTTCGTGTCACAATTAAGTTTGTCAAAATAGGCATCCTATATCGGGATGTAAGAGACCCAAAAATGACAAATTGTTTAAATGACAAAGTATTTTCTCACAATAAATAGCAAAATCCCAAGGCGAGCTGACAAAAGGGCATGTTCGTGATAATATAGTGATTTTGGCTTTGACAAAAGGCATGTTCGTAATAATATAGTGGTTTCATTTTTTACAAAATCTACTTTTGTCAGATTTGCTTGTGTTAGACTGAAACCTCGTGTTAGACTGAAATCAATCGGCCCGCATGACACATTTTTTTCCATCCAAATTTCAGTCCCGCCCAAAAAGTTATTTTTGGAGAATTTGGCGGATTTGAATTTAAAAATTTCAACAATGAGAGTCCAAATTGTCACCCGCCCAGAACTTGGTCCAAAATTTTAATTTGACCGCCCTTTCCTTCATTCCACCCGCTAGTAATAATTTTGACCATACATGATTGAATCTCACCACTCACCAGTCCCCACCCTTAATCACTACCCACTTGCTGCCTGCCAGAGTGCTAGTGACGTTTCGTATACCCAGGGGCCAAGGAGAACTTTATTATTATTATTATTATTTATATTTATTTATATATATTATGTTAGTAAGCCCACGACCCACACCTTTATGTTTAAGTTTTTCCGGAGAAGCCTTTTCCTCTTATGAGTCTTCTCCCATCCTTCTGCGTTTCCAAGTTCCAACTCGAAGTTGGCGAATCTCCATCATATATTGCTTCTGCCTGCGCCAGCATCCTTCCAATCTGTTGATGTTTATTTCATCTTGTTTGTTGGTGTTGATATCTTGCTCTTCCATGAGGTAGCGGGTAAGCTTTTGGATTGCGATTATTCTCGCCGCCGCTGTCAAATCTAGGTTTGGGGGGTTGATTTTTGGATTTTTCTTGCAGGGTTGTTGATCACGGGGAAAGAGAAGGGAGCTATTGTGTGCAGTTCGATGCCGACGCTTTAGATTGAGAATCCGAGAAGGATAAAACCATTATCCGACTGTAGCAGTGGCGACGATGACTTTGCCAACAACATGGAAAGCCTCAGCCAGGCCTGCCTTTTATTTGCAAAGATGTGGATATCTTAAACGATTATGCAGGTGACGCAAACAATTGTTGCGATAGCAATCCCTCTAGTCCCGAGAGTGAAGATGACCTGGAATTGCTGCGAGGTGTTCGGCAACGGTTTCTGTGAGTTTTCTTATGCAGATTAACACTTCACAACATGACTAATTTCTGTTACCAAGCAGAGATTTGAGCTGTTGGTATTGATCAAGATCTCTCCGGTGTTTTTGCCCTGTCGAAAACAGAGGGCTCTATATGCTTCGCTCAGGTAATTTCTCCAATTTTAACTGTAGCTGAAAGCTCAGGTTTGTCAAAATTTAAAGCTCAATTTTTAGTTTGGTTATTTAAGCCGAAGTGACTCGATTGGAACTTTGCGACATTGTATCAATGTGTCCATGCTTAGTCGTTGTTCTATCATGAGGTGATTATATGATTCTTGAGATGACAAAACCCACTGGATGCTAAGTCTATTGTTTAGTTGCTAGTAGTTTTGAGACAGAAATTGGTGATGGTCGTCCATTACCTAACTTTTATTTTCAAGTTTTGAATAATTTGATGAATCTTAGCACGAGTTGAATATTACTTTATTACTTCACAAATGTGTTACTGCTATTTTTATGCAGCTTTTCTGGTTTAATGTCCTGTACTATTTTCCTAGCTTCACTACAAATACTAATGTTCTTTATATACTCGTTTACAAAGTCATTATTGCTTTCGTCACTTGTACAAATTGCTTCAGCTTCTTGGCTTATGTGATATCTATATTTTAGTTTTCCATTTGTCGTTGTGGTTAGTTGATAATGGATGCCATGTGATCATGGGCAGTACAGATGAGATGAATAGAGGTTACTTTGCTGGCGATCTGGATTCCTCCCCCTGCAAAGATTCATTGCTGAGGATCTTCAATGTAAAGCTCGACAATACATTCCATTTGGATAGAAGCAAAGGCAGAGGGGAAGCTTGTATCGGCCGTGAGATTGTTCAGAAGGTCCTGAAGAAAAAGTGAAGTATGGACCAAAGGAGAACCCAAGCTCCGTAATGAAGTTCGAATGTTTTGTGTCATGGTGAACAACTTAGAATGTTTGGTTATGCTGAAGAAGGAGTTAGACTGCTATGGAAATGGTTGTAATATTTTTCCATTATGAGGTTGCAATGTAGGAAAAAATTTGAATTATGAAAATTTTGAAGCAGGTCAAATGTGAAAACAAAATTATGTTGTCACATTATGTACATTGCTTGACAAATTGTTCTCTTATCATATTAGACATGAGACAAATAAACCACCTTTCCTGACAAATGTATTCGTTGTAATTTTCAGTTATGACAAAATAATGTTGTCACAATAAACACTAGTGACAAAATTTAGCCGTCACAATATACAGTTATGACAAAATATAATCGTGTGATATGACGAAAAATTCTCCCAAAATCACCAAATTATGACAACCGTAATGACAAAATATGTTGTCATAACATCTCTGTTTGTCACAATAGACTACCCAGAACATCAAT